TCTACCAGATCTGCCCTCAGGACCTGGGCGGCCTCGCCAGCCCTGAGGGAGGAGGTCCCGGGAGAGGGCCATGTCTCCCAGGCTTTGGTAGACAGAGCTCAGAGGGTCTCTACCTTGTGGTGGTGCCAAGACTCTGACAAAATGAAGCTAAATTGTAAGGGAGGTAGACAGGAGGTATATTTGGGACATGGTCTAAAAAATCATAGATTGTCGTTTATCTGAAGTTCAAGCCTAACTGGTCAGCTCGTGTTTTGTCTGGCTCTGGAGCACGACCACCTGAGTGGAGCCTTGCAGAGGGTCCAGGGTCTCCTGCCGCGAGGTCCCCGGAGCTGCCCTGGTTCCCGCCAGCTCGGGTTTTGTCTGTGCAGCCCTTCCTTCTGCTTTGTGACCCCCGATTCCCCCTTTACTCCGAACTTAACCTGAGTTGGTTTCAGCATCATTTTCTTTTCTTTTTTTTAATATATTTTTATTGATTTTTTACAGAGAGGAAAGGAGAGGGATAGAGAGTTAGAAACATCGATGAGAGAGAAACATCGATCAGCTGCCTCCTGCACAGCCCCCACTGGGGATATGCCCACAACCAAGGTACATGCCCTTGACCTGAACCGAATCTGGGACCCTTCAGTCCACAGGCCGACGCTCTATCCACTGAGCCAAACCGGCCAGGGCCAGCATCATTTTCTTTATCAGTCACATGGGCTGAATAACCCCTGTTCTTCTGGTCTCATAGGATTCCTGTGAGGATAGATGGGTTAAATTGATCCATCAATAAGTCCTGGCCAAAGTTAATGTTATCACCCACTGATTTTCACTCTCCATTATGCCCTCTCTCCCCTCCCTCCTTCCCTCCCCTCCCTCCCTCACACTTTTGGTGGAAGAAAAACCTGAAACTAAGAATCTAGCTGTGTCCCTCACTAACTTCAACCCTCAAAGGTCACCCCAATGGCTCTCAAAAAAAAGACCCGGTCTATGGCCTATGACATCCACGGGCTTCTAGCTGACTCGGGCACCTTACCAAACCTAGTCCCTACTCACGTCACTGAGCACGAAGTAAGGCCCAGACACCACATCCGTCCTCATTTATCCCCTGACCGTGTGAATATGCGCTTTCTTACATCTTACGCCTCTCTTATTTAGCAAGCGTAGACACCCAGCCC